AAACTCCTGGGCTCGAGCCATCCTTCTGCCTCAGCCTCCCTGGTAGCTGGGACTACAGGCATGTGCCACCATGCCCGGCTAATTTTTTTTTTTTTATATATATATCAGTTGGCCAATTGATTTCTTTCTATTTATAGTAGAGACGGGGTCTCGCTCTTGCTCAGGCTGGTTTTGAACTCCTGACCTTGAGCAATCCGCCCGCCTCGGCCTCCCAAGAGCTAGGATTACAGGCGTGAGCCACAGCGCCCGGCCTTACTTTTTCTATATATTTCAGTTGGCCAATTAATTTGCTTTCTATTTTTAGTAGAGATGGGGTCTCACTCTTACTCAGGCTGGTTGTGAACTCCTGACCTTGAGCGATCCTCCCGCCTCGGCCTCACAGAGTGCTAGGATTACAGGCATGAGCCACCGCGCCCGGCCCCTCAAGTGTTTTTAATCTTTCCAATTTAATGTAGAAACCATTGAAGACATATTAGAAAACCTTTCCAGTGTGACATGAATTTTATTATAGAAGAGGATTCTCCTGGCCTATTGTGCCCTCCCTCTCCTCTTCCTCCTCTTTCTTCCTGCTTCCCTCCTTCTCTCCTTCCCCCATATTATCCAAATGTATTAGACAGTTTGGGCTACTATAATAACACACCATAGACTGAGTGTCTTATAAACAACAGAAACTTATTTCTCACATTCTGGATGTTGAGAGTCCAAGATGAGGGTGCCAGCATGGTCAGATTCTGGTGAGGGCCTCTTCCAGGTTGCAGACTGCCCACTTCTTGTTGCATCCTCATATGATGGAAAGAGGGCAAGAGAGCTCTCTGGAATCCTTTTTATAAGAGCACTTAGTCACAAACACTCAGCCCATAGCATTGTGCTACGGGACCCCCAAATTCTTGTCCTTCTCACATCCAAAATATATTCATTTCATTGCAATAGCACTAAAACTCTTAACTTGTTCAGCATCAGCTCAAAAGTCTAAAGTCTGGAGTTTTATCTAAATAGCGTTTTAATCAGATGTGGGTGGGACTCAAGGTGTGATTCATTCTGAGGCCATTGCTCTCAAGCTTTGAGCCTGTGAAATGGAACAAATTATTTGCTTCTAAAATACAATGGTGGGGCAGGCATAGGATAGACATTCCCATTCCAAAAGGGAGAAATAGGAAGGAAGAAAGGAATCCTAGACCCCAAGCAAGTCTAAAACCCAACAAGGCAAACAATATTAAATCGTAAGTCTTAAGAATAATCTTCCTTTAGGCCAAGGCGGGCGGATAGTTTGAGCTCAAGAGTTCGAGACCAGCCTGAGCAAGAGCAAGACCCTGTCTCTACTAAAAATAGAAAGAAATTAATTGGCCAACTAAAAATATATAGAAAAAATTAGCTGGGCATGGTGGTACATGGCTGTAGTCCCAGTTACTCGGGAGCCAAGGCAGAAGGATTGCTTGAGCCCAGGAGTTGGAGGTTGCTGTGAGCTAGCTAGGCTGACGCCATGGCACTCTAGCCCAGGCAAAGTGAGACTCTGTCTCAAAAAAAAAAAAGAATAATCTTCCTTGACTCCATGCCCTGCCTTTTGAACACACTGGGTGGCATTTGGGACCTCAGGGCTCTGAGTGACCCTGACACCACATTTTTAAAGGGCACAAACCACACCACAGCTCTCATGGGTTGGAGTCTCATGCCTGTAGCTCTCCCAGGCTAGAGTTGCATGCTGGTGGCCCTACTGTTGTAGGGTTTCAAGGGCAGCCACAATCCCATGGTACGTCTGGGCATTGCACCAGTGGAGCCTCTCTGTAGTGGCTCTGCCCCTACAATCTGCTAGTTATTGCCCTATTGTGGGCTCTCTGCGGTGGCCCTAGCCCATGACAGTTCTCAGCCTGGGCACTGAGGTTCTCCTGGGAATCCTTTGAAATCTAAGTGGAGGCAGCCACATCATCACAGCTCATGCACCCTGCACACGCCAGGATATGGCACTGCATGGATGCCATGCCATTGTTTACCACATGTGCCTTCCAGAGGTGCTGCCTGCGCTACACCTGAGCCCATTAGAGCATCAGCTGGGGTAGCCAAAGAACTACACCTGAGTTAGGGAAGTGGAGCCTTAAAATCATTCTACCTCAAGGCCCTGGCATTCTGAGCCTATAGTGGGTAGGGCAGCCTTGAAGATCTCCAAAATGCCTTAGGGGTCTGTCTTCTCTTGTCTTGATGAACAACATCTGGATTTCTTCTATTTATACTAATCTCCTTATCAAATGGTTGCTTGGCCACACCTTTCATATTCATTCCTGAGCATACTTGTTTATTGTTTATAAGAACAGAATGAGAGTTTTTCAAATCTTTATGTTCTGCCTTTTAATTTTAAATTTTGTCCTTAAATCATTTCTCTCTTCTCACATTTTGCTATAAGCAGTTAAGAGAAGCCATGCAGCATTTTGAATGCTTTGGAACTTAGATATTTTTCTTGCATAGCTCTTAAGTTCTGCATTCCATAAAGTCCTAGGACATGGACACAATTCATATAAATTATTTGCCACTTTGTGACAAGGATAGGCTTTTCCCTAGTTCCAATATCTTGTTCATTTCCATCTGAGATCTCATCAGAATGGCCTTTATTGTCCATACTTCTATCAGCATTTCCAATCATGACCACTTTAGTCATCTCTAAGAAGTTTCAGACTTTCCATGTTACTCTCCTCTTCTCACCAGAATTGCCCTTAGTGCTCTATTCATGGCAATTATAACCGAGTCCAAGCTCATGCCATTTGCTGCAAGACAGACAGTAAGTTGAGAGACAAGGTTTTGGGGTAAGGAAGGCAACATTTATTCAGAGAACCAGCAAACCAAGATGATGGAGGACTAATGTCCTAAAAGAACCATCTTAAGTTAGTATGAACTTTCGGCTCCTTTTTATGTTAAGGGGAGGGGAGCAGTTACAAGATGGTAACCAAGGACCTTAGTGAGGGTCTGAGGAGGTTGTAAAACTTAAATTTCTTATGGTCAGTTAACTTTGAATGAGTAGGTTAGATCATGATGCTCCTATAAATCTTTAACATAGATTTATTGCTTGTGTCTATACTTTCCTCATATCCCTGGGAGTTAGTTTGGGAAATGAAACAGTTATCACCTTACTTTTAGAGTTGAACTACAACTTAAATTCTTCCTATAATTAGCTGGCCTACTTGCCAAGCTAAGCAAAAGCTTTTAACCTAAAGGATAGTACCACAGGCGGTCAGCAGCAGAATGGAGCTCCTTGTGTTACGCCCCCTCCACTGTTACACAGTCTAGCATGTTTTCAGTTGCTCCTTCAAATCCTTTCAGCTGCTGCCCATTACCCAGTCCCAAAGTTACATCCACATTTTCAGACATTTCTTATAGTAACTCCCTACTTTTCTGTTACAAATTTCTGTATCAGTTTTTTTCTGCTGATATAACAGAATGCTGAAGAGTGGGTAATTTATAATAAGCAGAAGTTTAACGGCCCACAGTTCTAGAGGCTGAGAAGCCTGAGAACAAGGTGCTGGCATTTTGCAAGGGTCTTCTTGCTGCGTTATCATGTGATGGAAAGCTAGAGGGTGAGAGAAAGCAGGAGGGGCTGAACTTGCTCTTTAATAATGGCACCAATCCTACCCATGAGAGTGGAGCCTCGTGTCCTAATCACCTTTTAAAGGTCCCACCCCTTAATGCGATTACAAAGGCAATTACATTTCAATATGAAGTTGGAGGGGATATTCAGATCATGGGAACTGCCTTTTATTTTCTATTAGCAGGACATTCCTCTGACTTTATTTTGAATTTTGTTGTTTTTGTAGTTTATTTTAATCAGTACATTATCCAGATAGTGACCCATAAGTCTTTCAGGCTATGCTTATGGAGTCGAAAAACAAGTTGAATGCTAGCCATCATATGTTTAGGTCCTTTATAGCTAATAATTTATTTGTATTTGGAATAAAGGCTGGTATTGATTGTGGGAACCTGAGAGTTTTACAGAGGCTTTTTACAAAGGAACTTAACTATTTTAAAGGATAAAATGTAATATTTTTACATTGTTTTTGTGTTTTTTCAGACTTTCCTAACAGCCAATAATGTGTTTGGCTTAAAAACTTTAAAAAGCATCTTTACACATTACTTTGTAATAAACTCACAAGAAACTCTAACAGGCCTTTTATCATGGATCATATTGATAAACCTTTGCATATGTCTGTATCAGACATTTTCTTGGAGGCAGAATTGCTGAATGAAAGGATACATAAACTTTTAAGGCTTTTGATACAACTTTGTCCAATTCCTACTACTTTATTTTCCTAGTCTTATTGAATATTTTTACTATATTGTGTTCTGAATTTCTTATTTTTGCCTTTTTGTCATTACTAAAAATACTATACATCTTGTGGCAAATATATCACAATAAGATTTCCTTTCTCCCTTCCAAATTTGTCATTTCCTTTTCTTTTGCTTTCTTTTGTTTTCTAAGGCTTTGCCTTTTTTCAATTTAATTAGTGTTTTTTTTACATAGACAATTAAAATATTTAAATTTTCAATTAAAAATTTTTTATATATTTTAATGAATCTTCTTCTTTTACATGCAAAAAGTTCTTCCTTCTCCAGTGACTGTGTAAATTGTCATTAATATTCACATGAGATTCCTAAATGTAGGTGTTTTGGTTTGTTTTTGTTTTATTTACTACTTCTACAAAATTTTTTGTTCCTGATGGAGCTTAAGAATTTATTGAAGAAATGACTTCCCTCCTTTCTTTCAAACATGGGATTTCCACTAAATTTTGCCTAATAAGAGTTTGTAATTAGAGAAAATAATCTTATGTTTCATTTGCAATGTTCAATAAGAACCAATGTATGTTTTAATTTTTTAAATCATATTTTTGCCCCAAAGTTTAAGTATGAAAAGAATGAAAATCTAAATCAATATTTATAATTGCCCCCATATAGTTCTGGTTTTATTTGATTTCCTTTTTAGCTACTCCCTAATGGTAAGACATTGATGATTTGTTTTGCAGAATTCTTGCAGCCTTTCCTGGAAGCCTGTAGCAACACTTTATTTTTTCGTACTTGCTCCGTGCTACTTCGAACCCCTAAGCTTGATCTTCAAATACTAGAAAAGCTCAGCATTATTCTACAGAAACTTTCGAAAATCAAGTAAGAACTTGTTAATTTTTTTTATTGAAAAATAACTTCTTGTGATTATTTAGACCTATTTCTTTATTTCAGCGTGTAATGGTGGTATAAACATTTAGGTTACGTATATTGCCTTTGCCCCACTTGAGTCAGAGCTTCAAGAGTGTTCATCCCCCAGACAGTATGCACTGCACCCATTACATGTGTATATACCCATCCTCTCCTCTCCTCAAATCTGCCTGACACCCAATGACTGTTATTACTATATATAGACTTAAGTGTTGATCAGTTAATATCAATTTGATGGTAAGTACATGCGGTGCTTGCTTTTCCATTCTTGGGATACTTCACTTAATAGAATGGGTTCCAGCTCTACCCAGGATAATACAAGAGGTGCTATATCACCATTGGTTTTTGTGGCTGAGTAGAACTCCATGGTATACATATACCACTTATTAATCCATTCATGTATTGATGGACACTTGGGTTGTCTCCACATCTTTGTAATTATGAATTGTGCTGCTATAAACATTCTACTGCAGATGTCCTTTTTATAGAAAGTCTTTTGTTCTTTTGGGTAGATGTCCAATAATGGGATTGCTGGATCAAATGGTAGTTCTACTTATATCTCTTTGAGTTATCTCCATATCACTTTCCACAAAGGTTGTACTAGTTTGCAATCCCACCGACAGTGTAGGATTGTTCTAACTCTCTGCATGCATGCCAACATTTATTCTTTGGGTACTTTTTGATAAAGGGGGTAAGTGATATCTCACTGTGGTTTTGGTTTGTATTTCCCTGATGATTAGAGATGTTGAGCATTTTTTCATATGTTTGTTAGCCATTAGTCCATCTTCTTTAGACAAGTTTCTGTTCATGTCCTTTGCCCACTTTGTGATAGGGTTGTTTGATTTTTTTCTTGCTGATTTTCCTGAGTTCTATATAGTCTAGTTATCAGCCCTTTATCAGATGTGTAACATGCAAATATTTTCTCCCATTTTGTAGGTTGTCTGTTTGCTCTCATGATAGTTTCCTTGGCTGTGCAGAAGATTTTTAATTTGATCAGGTCCCATTTATTTATTTTTGTTGTTGCTGTGATTGCCTTTGGAGTCTTCTTCATAAGTTCTTTGCCTAGGCCAATGTCTATAAGAATTTTTCTGACATTTTCTTCTAGAATTTCTATAGTTTCATGCCTTAGGTTTAAGTCTGTTATCCACCGTGATTAGATTTTTGTGAGAAGTGAAAGGTGCGGATCCTATTTCAGTCTTCTATATGTAACTGTCCAGTTTTCTCAGCACCATTTATTGAACAAGGATTCTTTTCCCCAGTGTATATTTTTGTCTGCTTTGTCAAAGATTAGATAGCTGTATGAGGATGGTTTTATACCCGAGTTCTCAGTTCTGTTCCATTGGTCTGTGTCTCTGTTCTTGTGCCAATTCATGTTGTTTTAGTTACTATAGCCTTGTAGTATAGCTTAAAATCTGGTAAAGGGATGCCTCCCAATTTGTTCTATTTGCTTAAGATTGGTTTGGCTAAACGGGGTCTTCTCTGGTTCCCTATGAAGTGTGGAATTATTTTTTATAGATCTGTGAAAAATTATGTTGGTATTTTATTAGGAATTGCATTGAATGTATAGATCACTTTGGGTAGTATAGACATTTTAACAATGTTGATTCAGGTGACCCATGAGCATGATATAGTTTTCCACTTATTTACGTCCTCTGCTATTTCCTTCTTCAGTGTTTAGTAGTTCTCCTTGTAGAGGTCTCTTACCTCCTTAAATATATTTCTGGGTATTTTACTTTCTTTGTTGCTATTGTGAAGGGTATTGAGTCTTTGATTTGGTTCTCAGTTTGACTGTTGTTGGCATATAGGAATGCTGATTTCTGTACATTTATTTTGTACCCTGAGACTTTGCTGAATTTGTTTATCAATTCCAGTAGTCTCAAGGCAGAATCTTTGGGTTTTCTAGATATAAGATCATATCGTCAGCAAACAGTGAGAGTTAGATCTCTTCTGCCCCCATTTGGATGTGCTTGATTTCTTTGTCTGATTGCTCTGGTTAGGACTTCTAGCACTATGTTGAATACAAGTGGTGATAAAGGGCAACCTTGTCTGGTCCCAGTTGTAAGTGGGATTGCTTTCAATTTTTCGCCATTCAGTATGATGTTGACTGTGGGTTTGTCATATATAGCTTGTATCATTTTTAGGTAAGTCTCGTCTCTTTGTCTATGCCTATTTTGTTAAGTGTTCTTATCATAAAACAATGTTGAATTTTGTTGAATGCTTTTTCTGTGTCTATAGAGAGGATCATATGGTCTTTGTTTTTGCTTCTGTTTATGTGGTGAATTACATATATAGATTTGCATATGTTGAACCATCCCTGGATCTCTGGGATGAAACCCATTTGGTCATGATTGATTATCTTTTTGATAAGCACCTGAATTCAGTTTGCTAGGATTTTATTGAGAATTTTTGCATCGTATTCATAAGGCATATTGGTCTGTAGTTTTCTTTTTTTATTGAGTCCTTTCCTGATTTTGGTATCAGGGTAATTCTGGCTTCATAAAATGTGTTGGGGAGGATTCCTTCCTTCTTGATGTTCTGGAATAATTTCTGCAGGATAGGCACCAGTTCTTCTTTGTAGGTCTGGTAAAATTTGGGTGTGAAACCATTTGGTGTGGCACTTTTCATTTTAGCAAGATTTTTTTTATTGCTGTTTCAATTTTGGTACCTGATATTGGTCTGCTTAGGAATTCTATTTCTTCCTGACTGAGCCTAGGGAGGCTATTTGTTTCTAAGAATTTGTCCATTTCCTCTACATTTTCAAGTTTATGTGCATAGAGGTTTTCATAGTATTCATAGGTGATATTTTGTAATTCCATGGCATCAGTTCTAATTTCTCCTTTTCATTCCTGATGGAGCTTATTAGAGTTCTTTCTTTTCTGCTTCTCATTAATCTAGCCAGAGGTATGTCAATTTTATTTTTTCTAAGAACCAGCTTTTTGTTTTATTAATCTTTCATATAGTTTTTTGTTATCAATTTCATTTAGTTCTGCTCTGATCTTTGTTATTTCTTTTCTTCTGCTGGGTTTGGGGTCAGTTTGTTCATCCTTTTCCAGTTCTTTGAAATGATTCATCAGATCATTTATTTGTGATCTTTCTGTCTTTTGGATGTAGTCATTTATGGATATAAATTTTCCTCTGAGGACCGCTTTAGCTGTGTCCCACAGATTTTGATAACTTGTGTCTCTATCATTTAGTTCAAAGAATCTTTTGATTTTCATCTTGATTTCCTCCTTAATACAATAATTATTCAGCAGAAGGTTTAGCTTCCATGAGACTTTGTTTACAGATGATATATTATGTTGGAGTTGATTTCTAATTTTATTCCACTGTGGTCTGAGAAGATGCATGTTATAATTTCTAGTTTAAAAAAAATTTTTTTGAGACATGCTATTTGGCCTAGGATATGGTCAATCTTAGAGAATGTCCCATGAGCTGATGAGAAAAATGTATATTCAGTGGTTTTTGGGTAGAATGTTCTATAAATGTCAGTCAGGCCCATTTGTTCTAGAGTTGTGTTTAAGTCCATTGTTTCTTTGCTTATTTTATGTTTGGAGGATCTGTCCTGTTCTGTCAGAGGAGTGTTGAAGTCTCTGACTATTATGGTGTTGCTGTTTATCATTTTGTTTAGATCAAGTAGGATTTGCTTTATGAATCTGGGTATACTTGAGTTAGGTGCATAAATATTTAGAATTATTATGTCTTCTTGTTGAATTGTACCCATCTCCATTATATAGTGACCTTCTTTGTCTTTCATCAATTTTGTTGATTTGAAGACTTAGTGATCTGAAATCAGAACCTCCATGCCAGTTTTCTTTTGGTGTCCATTTGCTTGAAATAGTCTTTTCCATCCTTTCCCCTTGAGTCTGAATGTATCTTTGTGGGTTAGATGTGTTTCCTGAAAACAGCAGATGCTTGGCTTGTGTGTATTTATCCATTCAATCAGTCTATGTCTCTTTAGTGGGCAGTTGAAGCCATTCACATTTATTGAGAGAATTGATAAGTGGGGTAGATTTCTGTTCATCCTGTTGAGTGGAACAGGATGCTTTGTTTTCTCTCTTGAGCCATTATAGTAAATGGCTTTTGACCTTTAGCTTTTGGATGCTTTGACATTTGTGAGTCTTTATTGTGGTGATCCATGTGTAATAGTTTTTTTGAGTACTTCCTGGAGGGCAGGTCTTGGCTTCATGAATTTCCTCAGTGTTTGTTTGTCTGAGATGATCTTTATTTCCCCTTCATATACAAAACTTAGTTTTGCAGGGTACAAGATTATTGGCTGGGCAGTATTCTGTTTGAGAAGAGTGTGAGTCTGGCCCCAGTCTCTTCTTGCTTGTAAGGTCTCAGTTGAGAAGTCTGACATTATTCTGATGGGTTTTCCTTTGTAGGTTACCTGCTTCTTTTGCCTTGCAGCTCATGGGAGGACCTCTTTGGTGTTTATTTTGGTCTTTCTGACGACTGTGTCTTGTGGTGTCTTCCTGTTTGTGATGACTCTCCCAGGAGTCCTTTGAGCTTCCTGTACCTGGATATCTAGATTTTTAGCAAGGCCTGGGAAATTTTTCTCTATTATAACCTGAAATACTTATCCGACCCTTGTGTATTTTCTTCTTCACCCTCAGGGATTCCTGTGATTTTCACATTAATCTTCTTTACATAAACCCACATTTCTTGTAGGCTTTGTTCCTTTCTTTTATTTCTCTGTCACTGATTTTTTTAGACAGAGTCTCACTCTGTTGTCTAAGCTAGAGTGCCATGGCATCAGCCTAGTTCACAGCAACCTCAAACTCCTGGGCTCAAGTGATCCTCCTGCCTCAGCCTCCCAAGTAGCTGGGACTACAGGCGTGCACCACCATGCCCGGCTAATTTTTCTCTATATATATTTTTTAGTTGGCCAATTAATTTGTTTCCATTTTTAGTATTGTGGTCTTGCTCTTGCTCAGGCTGGTTGTGAACTCCTGACCTCGAGCGATCCAACCACCTCGGCCTCCCAGAGTGGTAGGATTACAGGTGTGAGCTGCCACACCTGGCCAATCCCTGAGATTCTTTCTTCTATTTGATCTATCCTGTTCTTTAAGCTTTCCACTGTGTTTTATAATTCCTTGTATAAATTCTTCATTTCCAGAAGTTTGCTTTGATTTTTATTATGCCAATTTATTTAATGAATTTTTCTTCCAAGTCCTGCTTTTTTTGTAGCTTCTTTGTGTTGGCTATCCATTTTTTTCTTGCATATCATTAAATTTTCTTACAATCCATGTTCAAAATTCTGTCATTTTAGTGTTCTGAATTTGGTTTATGTCCATTGTTAGAAAGCTGGTGTTCCTCTTTGGGGGTGTGCTTTCTGTTTGATTCTTCATACTTCCAGAGTTTTGCTGATTCCTTCCCATCTGGATCCACTGTTGCTTCTTACCTTTAGATTTTCTTTTGACTAATGACATGCCCTGATTAGTCTCTGAGCTAGTAGGTGCACTTAAAGGGTGTGCAGAATGACCTCCCTGTCAGTAGGTGGCAGGAGGAGCAGGCTGCAGTGTTGTTTTTGGGTCCTGTAACCAGCTCTTGTTCCTCTGGAGAGGCACTCTTGAGCCTCAGGTGGTGGGTGGGGCCCTGGGATTTCCAGGTGTGCCCTTATTCTCCATCTCTATGGGGTCAGGTAGGGGGGTGAGCCTGCCATCAAGCACCACAAATACTGTTAACCGGGGTCAAAGTTTTGTTCTCTACTTCTTGGCAAAGCTGCCAGGGAGGGGCTGAAATGGCCCTACTCAGCCAAAAAGTCTGTGTGTGGAAGTGGGGCTATCTGAGACCTGCAGTCTGGAATAGGCCTCCTTTCCACCCTCGCCTATTCTGTGGTTTCTCCCAGGTCTCTGCCCTCAGGCAGAACCTCAAGCCAGTGGATCTCCCCTGGCTGTGATGCTGGCCAGAAGGGTCCCTGCCCAGGATCACAGTCTGAGCTGGGTATACAGCTGTCCTATGGGAGGAGGGTTGCCCCTCAAGCATGCTGATCTGCCCCTGAAGGCACACACACGTAAGTACGCAGATTCACAAATATCCTTTCTGTGCCCCGGGAAAATGCAATCGGGACCTGGGTGTACGGGATCTCAGGCCTGTCTTTTGGGCCCTGGAGATCAATCCCTCACCCTACCCAGGAGAGAAGTGCTAGACTCAAGCCACCCACTGAGTGCCCAAGCTAGATTGATGTCTCTCTGCTTCGGTATTTAGCCTGCTGTCCTAGAATCACCAGGCAAGCAGCCCCTGGGAGGGCTGGCGGGTAGGGAGCTCACAGTCTGAGTAACCCTTCAGTCCACTGTAGAGCACCAAAAGGAAAGGTCCCATTCTCTGCAGATGCCTCCTGGTGGCGGCTAAATTGTCTCTCTCGGCAGCTGTGGGTAGGAACGGGGAAAGGGAGAATGAAGCAACCTGGTGCCTGCCAATCAGCAGGCTAGGCGGTGCCTCAAGGGAGCTGGGAGCCTGGTGCCCTGTCTGCAAGAGGCTCACCGTTCCTGGTGGTAGCCGTCTCTGGGCTGGTGTTGGTAGGTCTCTCCAACCACTCAGGAGCCCACCAGCAGTCCTAGATGCAAGGGAAGGGAACGTTAACTGCTCCACCTACCTTTGTTGCTGGTCTACAAGCCTCTTGGAGGCGTGTCTCCTTCAGTTTTCCTCTGCAACTTCTTCCCATGGAATCTCCTGTAGTTTCAGGCACCCTTCCTACCAACCCTCATCCAATCTGTGTTTGTCTGCCTATTTTTTTTTTTTTTTTACTTTCTTCTAAAATCTGTCTTTCTTGCAGAGACACTCAGGCTGGCAGTTTTTCTTGTCTGCCATCTTCATTTAGATCTTTCTAAATCCCATACTAGTTCAACTTTGATTATTAATTCCAAATTTTCAATATACAGATATAGAAAATTAAGATTCATGAATATTAATGTGATCTAAGATCACATATTTAGTGATAGACAGTATCAATATTAGAACATTGAGTTGTTTCTGTAGTTCAGTTAAGCTAAATGAAGTTTAAAAACCACAGACAGTATACAAAAGTAAGCAAATTTTAGCAACCAAATGATAGAATTAGAAATTACTGCATACTGGCATTCTGTAATATCACAGGTGAAAATTTAGATAATAAAAATGTATTTAAGCAGTTTGTTCTTGTTGTACTAAAGTGAGCTTAGGGAATGAAAATGAAGCAGACAGAAAAATTTAAGATGATTTCAGTAATGGAGTTTGTTTTGGGAAACTATTATGAGCTTCCCACTGCCACTAATTTGGATTTTCTTGTGAGAATTCAGGGCTATTTCCTCTCCTTTCTCCTGACTCAAATACTGATATAACCAGTTTTTAGATTATATATTAAAGACATGGATTTTAAGCTATATTTTCTTAGAATCTTGCGGTAGTCTAGTTTTTCCTTTGAGGCAAATCTGGATACCTTCTGTCTCATTTTCATAACAGTAAATTTTTATTTTGGTTCAGCTCTTCTCTCCCTGGTCTTATCCCCTCATCTATAATTTCCATCATAGAGAATGTAGATGTTTTACCAGGCTTCTGTATATCTTAATAGTAAATGCAACGGATCTTAAAGTTATTTGTAGATAGGGATAATGGATCAATGTGTTCTATTTGGTACCATGCCTAGCATACTGTAGTGACCTGTCAAATTACAACCTTATTCTCAACTGATAACATTGTTAGTTTTGATCTGATACCAGTTAAACTTATCAATTTATTGTCTTCCTTTTTCTGCAGACTATGTCATGATTCTCTTGATTTATAATCAGTAAATTCTTAATAAGGCCTGTTGCAGTTACCCTGTGATGCCATGAAGTTGCAATAACATTATTAGATTTAATTCTTTTTAATTCATTTGATTTTTTGAAAGTAGTCCTAAAGTACAGGTATATCCTTGGGCCAAAATGTTTTACTATTCAGGGTATGTTTTGTAGCTTAGGTTCATTTCAGACTTAGGTAAAGACCTAGAACGAAGTTTGAACAAGAGCATTGGGAATAGTTGCTGCTGAATCAAGTCTTAAAGCTTTAAAACCACGAAGATGTAAATCCTTTTGTATTAAAGGATGGTACATAAGGTTATTTGATAATTTCTCTCAAGAGGTAAATATATCTAGAAAAGAAATAGGAAATATGTCATAAGATTATTCTAATTGAAAATGAAATTGCTGACTAGTTATTAAAAATAAGGATAGTTGAAGTATTTTGTAGCCAAGTTGCAAGGTAAGTCAATATTCTGCCACTTTAAACAGCCCTACTTACTTAAAATAAGATGATTAAATATTTGACAAAGCTGTGGGGGAAAAAAAGATTTCTCAAGCTCTCTAATAGTGAATAAGGTGCAGTTTTCAGGATTATAAAATGTTTCCTTTTTTTCCCCAAATGCTTTTCTACTTCAGGCCTATTTCAAAAGACCTATTTTAGCATCTTAATCTTTTAGTCACCTATTTTATCTACTATTTTTAAAAACAGATACCATTTCCTCAAAATTATGTATAAGTTATATCAGTGTCATTACAGATAACTTCCCTAAGTATATGTAATAAAATTATGTACTTTCTTCTACAGGAGTAATAAGAAGCTATTTGAACTTTTTACAATTCATCTGATGCTTCAAGAGATACAGAGGACAACACATCCAGAGCATGCTTTTCTCTGTATTAATCTAAATTCAACTCTGTTCAATTTGGGTCTAACAAAATGCAACTCCCTGCCCTCCAATCCAAGCCATTAGACTGGCTCATTTTTTCATATATATGTTGCTTTTTTGTAAAAATGTAAAAATCACCAAAGTAACTAAAATTCTACCAAGTTACCAGTAGCATCATTTATCATGAAAGAAAGGTTGTTTTTTTAAACTTTTTAAATGAAATCTACAGAAGCTATGGAATTTTGGAATGTTTTGGTTCAACTAAGGTAGTACTAATACATAAGATGACATTTCCAGAATTTATGACATTGGGGTTACTTTTCGTGAAAGTATTTTAGGAAAATTCTTTCTTAAAGTTGTGATTATTTGGAATAAAATTGGTGCTTATGTGGGAACAGGGTTAAATCATGTTGTTATTCTCTTTTCTTAATATATTAGAATTTCTCCTTTTGGAAGTAAAAGTACATATTTTTAAACTATTATCTTGATGATATAACTTTTCTATATATTGTAGCCTAGATTCACAAATATTGACTTTTTTTGTTGTGCTGTTCACAGAGTATTTTAGAGGAAAAAATTTTCAAAATAATTTGTTACTGAAGCGTGTATATACAATGTAAGACATTTGCTAAAAAAAAAAGTGAAAAATAAAGAGTATCAAAGTCCCATTACCAGAAATATCTCTTGGTATAGCCAAAGATGAGTCTAAAGTGGCCAGAGGTCTTGGGTGAGGTAGAGTTGGTGAAACTTGGGACTTAGGACAGGATACTGAGGAACAAGAGAAAAGGAACATTGTTTTAAAGAGTCATAAAATTATACATGATTTGTGTTTAATCTGTTTCAGGATCTGGAAGTAATTTTCAGGAAGCTATTGGGCTTCTTCAAAAGAGTATAGGAAAGTGTGCCATTTGTGAAGCAGAAACGGAAAGCCATAAGGAGAGAACAGGCTGAGGTGAATATGGTGAGACTCATAGGAACTTAAAAATATAGAAGCATAAATGCACGTTGGAAACAGAAAATAGCATGATCACTACTTTAGAAAGTAAAATTAGTATTATGAGAAAAAACAAGAAGTTCTCTCAAGAACTCAGAGGTGGTACAAATGAAAGAGTGGACAGAGACTGGCACTTCAGCCAGCATAGGGTATCTGGTGTTTCCAAAGAGAGCAGAACAAGTGGAGCAGAAGCAATATTCAAAGATATAGCTGAATAAAGATTTGGGGGGATAAAGATCTGCATGTACAGATTGAAAGGGTTCATTATGTTCCATAAAAATCTATTCATGTGAATAAAAGGTTCCATAATTAAACACATCCTGCAAAACAATTACATGGATAAAAGCAAAACCAAACAAAAGCCAGTTACATATAAGAGAAGAAAAACCAAGCTGGCCTCAGAGAATACCAGAAGTTAACTGGGAGTTCTGGAGGGAAAGATTTTTAAGACAAAAATTTGTACCTAGTGAAGATGCCTTTCACAGGTGAAGACAATGGAAAGACTTTCAGACATGCAAATGTTCAGAAATTATACCATTTATGTACTATTCTGGAGAAAAGAGGCTACATAAAGATCAACCAACTTAAAGATGAAGGAAAACTGAGTTTATTAAATCAACCTCATGCCAAAAGACTGTTGTGAACACTAAAACCATTGATGCATAAATTTAAATAATTGTTGTAAATTTCTTTATGAAATGGAGTATAGTGTTAAATTCTTAAAAGGATAAATAGGAAAAGCAGTATTTTGGTAATAAGTATTTGGATAAGTCTATATTAACCTATGTTAACAAAAACTGAGAATTTTGGGGCCTTGAGATTGAGGTAGTGAGGAAAGAGGAGCTATTAAGTATTCTACATTATCATCAGAAATTGTGTCAAACTGTTCCATTTCAATATTACCTATGACAATTATAAAAAATGTGCTTTAAAGAATGCTTTTGGAAAATATCAAGGAAACGACTATTAAAATAAAGAAGGATAAATAGTGTCAAAACACTGAAAGAAAAATGAAATATCTATATAGACATGACAACAGATAGGATAACAGGAACATGAAAAGAACAAAAATATTTAGGCTAAATAAAGGAGATTTAAAAAGTTATAAATAAATTCTGTATTGCCGTGTGCTGATAAATTTGAAGATCTGGATGAAGTGGACCATTTCTAGAAAAAGACATCATAATTATCTTAAGAAATCTACAATAGCAAATAATTGAAATCTTTTATAAAATTATCAAATGGTTTTTAAATGGTAGCAAATCTAGGTGTTTTATAGGTGAATAGTTTTACAGTTTCAAAGTGGAAGTATTTAAAGTTATTTGAACTGTTCTAAAATGTAGAAAAATCACCCGAATTCATTTTATACAGTTAGCATTGATCTAGTTCCAAAAAATTGTCAGAGAAAGTGTGAGAAAGAATAAAGTAGATCTAAAAGTCTTAAATTTTGAACAATACCAACTACTTATGACAAGAATATTAATCCAGTATTAAGTAGGATAACATACATTCTAGAATTACAAGATTAACTTCTAGTAGAAAAATATATTTTGTAATATTAGTAGAGCAAAGGATAAAACCCATACTCTCATTTTGGTGCCTAAAAATATTATAGTTCAAACTTACATTCCTTCTAAAACTTGTTACACTGTGTTTAAAAAAATATGAAGTCAACACTAGTAAGTTTATTGTGAAACACTAGCAATATGCCTATTAAGGTTAGGAATAAAATGAGGATATCTGCTAACTGCTCTTACATACTTTGGATTATTTAAGGAAGTATAACTTTGGGGAAAGGAAAAAATCATTCATAGATGACGTGATTACCTAGAAAGCTGTAAAATTGTTATAAAATTTCAGAAATATGTCCAATTATAAAATAAACATAGAAAACAGCTTTTGTATATTCTAGGAACAATTAATAGAAATTAATATTTCACTTACAATATTAGTGAACATAGAAATCAAAAGAAATATTCAGGACCCAAAGGAGGGACTGCCAAACTTTGCTGAGGCATATCAAAAAAGACTTAGTGGAGACATTACTATGTTCCTGGGTGAAGAGATTTGATTCTATCGGAAAGTAAAATATCCCCAAATTATTTTATACATTTCCACCAAAACTAATTTCAATCCAGATTCCAAAAGAATTTTTTTTAGAAATTGGAAAAATCATTCTATAGCTCATCTTTAAAAATAAACAGGCAAGATTAGTGAAAGAATTTTTGAAAATAACTATAGCTATTTGTTGAGTTTTTCAGCAGCAGACACTGAGCTAACTTTTTATTATTCATCCCCATAATGACTTTGCTGTGCTGAGAGCCCAATATGCTATGTGAAGGGGAGTGGGAGGGAATTTGCAATACTAGATTTTTACCCATATAGTTGTGACTCAAGTTTGAGTCTTCCAACCTCTAATTTTATTGGACTAACAGAAGAAATCTTTCTAGAATAAGTAACATAAATCAATAGAGGAAATCAACAGAACCAAAAGCTGTTTCTTTGAAAAGATTGATAAAATCAAAAAGCTTCCTGTCAGGCTAAGGAAAAAAAAAAGAGAAGGCACAAGTTGTTAATATCCAACTTGAAGGAGGGGACATTACTACAAATTTTGTGTACAGTAAAAATATAATGAAGGAATAATATGAACAACTCTGTACCCACAAATTTGATAACCTAGATGAAATGGACCAATTTCTTGAAAGACACAATCACCAAAACTCACAAAGAAGAAATTATCTGAATAGGCCTATATCTGTTAAAGAAATTGAATGAATAAATAACCTTCCAAAACAGCACCAGGCTCATATGGGTTCACTGAATTCTACCGAACATTTAGAGAAGAAATGTTACCAATTTTCTACAATCTTTAAGAAGTAGAAACAGAGGGAATATTTCCTAATTTATTATATAAGGACAGCATTATCTGAATACCAAAACATTACAAAGACATTATAAGAAAACAACAGATCAATCTCTCTCATGAACATGGGTGCAAACATCCTCAAAAAATATTAATTAGCCAGGCATGGTGACATGTACCTATAATCCCAGCTACTTGGAAGGCTGAGGCAGGAGGATCACTGGAGCCCAGGAGTTTGATGTTGCAGTGACTTATGATGACACCACTGTACTCTAGCCTGGGCAACAGAGTGGGACCTCTCTCAAAAAAACGGGGAAATATATATATATATATATATTTCTAAAATCAAATCCAACAATGTACAATAGGAATTATACACTGTGACCAAGTGGGATTTGTCCCAGGTATGCAAGACTGGTTCAACATTTGAAAAATCAATGTAATCCATCACATCAATAAGTTAAAATAGAAAAATCACACGATTATATCAATAGGTACAGAAAAAGTATTTGACCAAATCCAACATCCATTCTTGATAAAAAAAACTTTCAGTAAACTAGGAATAGAGAACTTTCTCAACTTGATTTAAAAAAAAAATCTATGAAAACCTACAGCTACATTATACTTAATGGTGAGAAACTAGAAGCTTTCTCACTAAGACCAGGAAGGAAAGGATGTCCCTGCTCACTATCCCTTTTCTTTCTTTCCTTTTCCCTTCCCTTTCTGACAAGGTCTTGCTCTTTCACCCAAGTTGGAGTACAGTCATGCCTTGAACTCATGGGCTCAAGCAATTCTTCCGTCTCAGCCTCCTGAGGAGCTAGAACTACTGGTATGCACCAACATACCCTGCTAATTTATATTTATTTTTTAGAAATGGGGTCTTGCTATGTTACCCACGCTGGTCTCAAACTCCTGGCCTAAAGTGATCCTCTTGCCTCAGCTTCCCAAACAGCTGAGATTACAAGCATGAGCCACCACACCCAGTTCACTATCCCTTTTCACCAGCCACTCGAGTAGCTGGGATTACAGGCACATGCCACCATGCCCAGCTAATCAATTGATTTTTTTTTTTTTTTTTTTGAGACAGAGTCTCACTCTGTTGCCCAGCCTAGAGTTCCATGGCATCAGCCTAACTCACAGCATCCTCAAACTCCTGGGCTTAAGCAATCCTGCTTCAGCCTCCTGAGTAGCTGGGACTACAGGCATGCACCACCATGCCCAGCTAATTTTTTCTATATATATTTTAGTTATCCAGCTAATTTCTTTCTGTGTTTAGTAGAGAAGGCGTCTTGCTCTTGCTGAGGCTGATCTCGAACTTCAGACCTGGAGCAATCCTCCTGCCTCGGCTTCCCAGAGTGCTAGGATTATAGGCATGAGCTACCACACCTGGCCTCAATTGATTTTTGACAAAGGAGCAAAGGCAATGTAATGGAGAAAAGATGATCTTTTTAAATTGTGGAATAACTTGCAATCTACATGCAAAAATATGAATCTAGACACAGAACTTACACGTTTTACAAAAGTAACTCAAAATGGATCACA